TTCAAGTATTTACATCAGTTATTGAGACAAAATGCACATTTAAGGACACTGATTCTATTAAAATCAAGCCCTAAATGAGTCCAAATTATGGACTCATCAACACCCCAAACTTAAACTTTTGAGTGTCCTCAAGTAAAACTCAAGTTTGGCAGTTCAAAAAGGATGCCTCAAACAGTGCTACACAAGACTCAACCATGAATACACACAAAAAGATTCAACTTACTTATGCAAGGAACAAATCTGCACTCAAAGTTTCAAGTTGTGACTCACCAATATCAAAGAATCCCAAGCTCACAATACTTGCTTCAAATCCAAGTTCAAGCTCAACTAAAGTGTTCAAATGCCCTCACACAAAGAATGATTCCATATTCACACAATGGTTCACAATTTAAAGCTTCGAAATCAAATGCAACGCTCACACTCACAAAGATGAACACAATACATTATTTCACCCATAGGTTTGTCTGTATTTTCCAATCGATACTTGGTTCAGCTCACTCAAGATCACAAAGGTATTTTCAAGGCTTGTAATGGTGCTAAGTGCAAAGGTATGGTTATTTAGGCTAAATGGCTATAGTCCTCATGAAATGTGGTGTGAACAACACTTCCCTTTCCTTTTCTTCATCATTTTCATTCGTGCTTACAAGTCATCTCATTATTCACTTTCCATGGATCAGTGAAAACCCTTTTTTTTCCAGAGGGGTTCCATTTTTCTTTTTATCAATACCATGGGTAGAAGGGATTTTCTTGCACTACTCCTTGATGTTTCTTCTCCTTTTACCACACACCTAAGTTGGTTATTCAAACAAACCACAAATCATGAGGATTATGGGTAATGGGTCAAGAAAGGTCATGTTTTTATCAAGCTTTTTCCAAGAAAAGGTTAAGGCTCAAAAGGTGTTCAAAAGAGGTTCACACACTCACAGAGTAGGCCACAAAAGAGGTATATGTCAAGTTGGTTCACACTCTTTAAAGTTGTCTAAGATCATTTCAAGAGTTCACATCCCTAAAACAACCGAACCAACGGGGCAAATTCTAGGTGTCATCATGCATGGTTCACGATAAGCTTATCACACAAGGCATTTACACTAAGTCAAACAAGACTCCACACTCTCGCTAGTGTGCAATGCTTAGCACAAGAGACTTGATTCGATAATTGGCTAGTCACAACGAGATGCAAAGAGTTCACATATTGTCTATGCAACTTCATTTGTCCTCATCGTAACCACACATTCATGCTTGTTCAATTATGAGCACTATTCAAGTCATCAGTATTGATCAAAACAGATACTCAAATTTGCAAAAGAAAAGCCTCTTTCAACCCAAGTATGGGGTTTGAAACAAGAAGGAGATTCGATGAGGTTCATAAGGAGGTTCGTTGAGGTTCATGAGTAGGCCTCCACACCCTCAACAAAAATAGTTCACATTGTCCTCAATGTGGTTAGAGAGCGGACAATTACCAAAATTTAACATGACATATGAATAATAAAAAGTATCAAGAAATGAAAGCAAATTAGTGTGTTAATAAGTAAAGCAGGGTAACGAGAAATCTTCACTAAATGCCCAGATGGCGATGGAGTGTAATGGTCGCGGAGTGGTTTGGCAATGCACCGAATGTTCTTCGGATCTCCCTTAGTTCCAGTATATTGCACTCCCAGAGAAGGCAGATTGGCAAAGATGTAGTGGATCGCCGAACACCTCGGTGATCCGCATAATGAACTGAAAGCATCGTTGGTCGATCCTTGAGGAACATTGTCCGCTTTGATTAGAAAGGGCGAGGAAAATCGGGTCACCTAAACACATCGGCGAGACAACAACTGGTGAAGGTATCCCGCTGAATGTTCCCGAGTCTCAGTCTCATTTTTTATATCCATAAGGCGAACCAAGTCGTGCTCACCGAAATAGTTCGGCGACTCGCCAAGAAGACTTTTGTCTCGCTCATGATCCCTACTCCTGTAAAATCAATACACACATTATTTAAAACACTAACACTTGGGTTTCCTCCCAAGAAGCGCCTTATTTAACGTCGTGGCACGACGTGGAAATGTTCTCAAGCATCTTCCAGGTACACCACCTCAATCAAAGAAATCTCTTGGCATTCTCCAAAGTATAATTTTAAGCGTTGCCCATTCACCTTAAATGCAGGTCCCTCTTGACCCTTAACTTCTATGGCACCATTGGTGAATACTCTTGTCACTCTAAATGGTCCTAACCATTTGGACATGAGCTTTCCTGGAAAGAGTCTAAGTCGAGAATTGTATAGTAACACCCAGTCTCCCACTCTAAACTCCCTCTTAAGAATTTTAGCATCATGTTATTTCTTTATCGTTTCCTTGTACAGGGATGAACTTTCATAAGCTCTGAATCTAAATTCATCCAATTCGTTTAACTTATAAACTCTCTCCCTCGAGGTCTTTGTCCAATCCAGATTTTAAGCTTTCAATTCCCATAACGCTTTGTGTTCCAACTCAACGGGTAGATGGCAAGATTTACCAAAAACTAGTTGATACGGGGACATCCCAATAGGAGTTTTGTATGTGGTGCGATACGCCCATAGTGCGTCATCTAACTTTCGAGACCAATCAGTCATATTTGCATTCACTGTCTTAGCCAAAATGCTTTTGATCTCCTGGTTTGACACTTCAACTTGACCACTTATTTGGGGATGATACAGTGTTGCTACTTTGTGTTTCACCCCATACTTACTCAATGCAGCTGAGAACCATTTATTGCAAAAGTGTGATCCTCCATCGCTAATAATGGCTCGCGGAGTCCCAAACCTTGCAAAAATGTAGCACTTCAAGAATTGAACAACACTTTTTCCTTCGTTGTTTGGATGAGCTACAACCTCTACCCATTTGAAAACATAATCCACAACCACCAAGATATATTTATAGCCAAATGAGCTCACAAATGGACCCATAAAATTGATTCCCCATACATCAAATAGTTCCACTTCCAAAATTGGTGTCAGAGGTAACTCGTGCCTTTTGGACACTCCACCTTGATTTTGACATTGCATGCACTTCTTGACAAACTCATGAGCATCTTTGTATAGAGACGGCTAGTATTACCCACTTTGCAGAACTTTAGTTGTTGTTCGTACACCACTGTGATGACCTCCAACCGGCGAAGCGTGACAAGCATGTAGGATCTCAATAGCTTCTTCTTCTGGAATACATCTTCTAATTATATGGTCAGCACATCTCTGAATAAATATTGTTCATCCCACAAATATTTCTTAGCATCGAACAAGAACCTCTTTTGTTGGTAGAAGTTCAGTTCGTCTGGCACTACTCCACACACCAAATAATTTGAAAAATCAGCATACCAAGGGGGTTGTGTGAGGGTTACCGCAAATACCTGTTCATCGGGAAAAATATCATTTATGTTGATCTCCAGGTCGTCATTCTCCCTGCCTTCCAATCTTGACAAGTGATCAGCCACCTGATTTTCACAACCTCTTATATCTTTGACCTCAAAGTTGAATTCTTGCAATAAAAGCACCCACCTTATCAATCTCGGTTTGGCGTCTTTCTTTGCCATTAGATAATGCAATGCAGCATGATCAGTGTGAATAATCGCTTTTGTTCTTAGCAAGTATGCGTGAAACTTCTCAAACGTATAAACCATTGCAAGTAACTCTTGTTCGGTAACTGTGTAGTTACATTGAGCACTATTTAAAGTTTTGCTTACATAGTAAATGGGATGAAAAAGTTTATTTCGTTTATGTCCCAACACTACACCTAATGCCATGCCACTTGCATCACACATTACTTCAAATGGCTCTGACCAATCAGGGCTAATGATGATTGGAGTAAAGATCAGTTTTTCTTTCAGGCATTTGAAAGCTACCATACAAGCATCATCAAAGTGGAATTTCACCACTTTTTCCAAAAGTTTGCATAGAGGAAGTGCAATCTTTGAGAAGTCTTTGATGAACCTCCTATAAAATCCGGCATGTCCCAAAAAACTCTGAACCCCTTTTACTGAAATCGGTGGCGGTAATTTCTTGATTACTTCCAACTTTTGCTTTGTCTACCTCCAGCCCATTTTGTGATACTTTATGACCAAGCACAATTCCTTCCTTAAGCATGAAATGACACTTTTCCCAATTTAGGACTAAATTGGTCTCAACACATCTTTGGAGAACTTGTCCTAAGTGCTCTAAGCATTCTGCAAATGTGTCACCCACAACTGAGAAATCATCCATAAATACTTCCATCGAGTCTTCCACCATGTCTGCAAAGATGGATAGCATGCAACGTTAGAACGTAGCCGGGGCATTACACAATCCGAATGGTATTCATTTGAAGGCAAAAGTACCATATGGGCAGGTAAAGGTCGAGCATTTGATCCATAAAGGGCATGGGGAAATGATCCTTTTCAGTACATAAATTCAGCTTTCGATAGTCCATGCAAACTCTCCAACCTATCACCGGTCGCATAGATACAAGCTCCCCCTTGTCATTAGGGACAACCATGACTCCTCCCTTTTTCGTTACACATTGCACCGGACTGACCCATTTGCTATCTGCAATAGGGTAGATCACTCATGCGTCCAACCACTTTATTATTTCCTTTTTCACCACTTCTTGCATTGGTGGGTTTAATCTTTGCTGATGTTCTACACTCGGTTTACAATCGCTATCAAGCTGAATTTTGTGAGTACATATGCCAGGAGGAATTCCCACTATATCAGCAATAGTCCAACCGATGCCATTTATATGCCTTTTCAGTACTTCAAGGAGCATTTTTACTTGCCAATCAAGCTAATCAGCTGAAATAATCACCGGCAATGTGTTATTTGCACCTAAGAAAGCATACCGGAGGTGAGAGGGTAGTACCTTCATCTCGAGATTTGGTGGTTCTTCGGTTGATAGTTTGGCGGGAGGGATCTCTTGGTTTTTTAAGTTGATGTCCAATTTAATTGGAGTCTTTGTAAATCCCTCCATGCTCGAAAATACGGCTACCACTTCATCATGGCCTTGAACCTCAAACTATTCATCGTTAGCTAAAACAACCTCAAGTGGTTCTTTGCTGCACATCAAATGGCTCACACTAGCCACTGCCTCATCAACCATATCATCAGTTGAAATTACATGGATGTCACTCGGGTGTTTCATTGATTTGTACATATCAAAGGTGACTTCATCTTCATTAACCCGAATTTTCAGCTCCCCACTCTCAACATCCACCAACACTCTCCCAGTTGCCAAGAATGGCCTCCCTAAGATAATAGGAATTTTGGCATCTATGTCACAGTCGAGTATGACAAAATCGGCCGGAAAAATGAATCGATCAACCTTAACCAAAATGTCATAAAGTATTCCCACCGGATGTTTGATCGATCTGTCAGCCATCAAGAGTCTCATAGTTGTAGCCTGCAGTTCACCCAACACGAGTTGTTTATAATAGCATAAGGCATTAGATTAATACTTGCTCCCAAATCGCATAAGGATTTTGCAAACATTAGCATGCTTATAGTACATGGGATAGTGAATGCTCCAGGATCATTTTTCTTTTCGATCAGCTTCTTCGTCACAATTGTACTACAACTGTGAGAGACTTTAATCGTCTCAAAATCCAAGCTTCTTTTTTTGGTGACTAACTCATTCATGAATTTGGCGTAACCCGGCATTTCCAACAATGCTTCAACTAGAGGGAGATTAATCGATAAGGTATTGAATACCGATAGAAACTTCTTAAACTTCTCATCCTGCATTCTTTTTCTTTAGGCATTGAGGAAATGGATGAGATATTTTAGGTAAAGGTTACTTGGCTTTTAGGCATGGCTTGTGCTTTTCCTCCTCACTTTGCGACTCCTTTGTAACATCTTGAGGAATGGTTATCTCTTCTTCCTCTATATCTTTGCCTTCATTCCGCGTGTGCTCTTCTTCGTTACCCATCACATCAGCTTTTACTTCTTTTTCGCTCCGAGTGACAACGGACAGTCCTTTATCTTCATCATCTGACACCATTTTTTGTTTCAATTGTATTGAAAGTAAACTCAATTGACCTTTAAGGACTTTGATTGCATCTACGTACGAGTTTACTTTATTGTTCAAGGATGAGAAGTCGATTTCATCCCTTTCGATAAATCATCCGAGCCTTCAACTTTATCAAGAATGCATGAAAGCAAATCATTCACGCGGGGACTACTTGCAGCTCTCCTTGATTTTGGGCTCTCACTTAGGTGGGTGTGGTTTTCTTCATATTCATCCTCTCTTCTCCAATACTCATTTTTCTCGAAAAAATCCTGGTGGCATCTCCTTTGCTCAACTTCCTTATGATGGTTCCAACCTTGATTTCCATCTCACTGTAAATAGCGTGGGTAGAAACCCTCCTCACTTCTTATGGAGTTCCAACCTTGATTCTCCCCAGGCTTTGAATAGCTTGAGGATGAACCCTCCTCAACTCTGAACACTCCATAAGTTCCCTTCATGTGTTCCTATAGAACTTCCATTTGGGTCAACATCTTCTTGATGTTTTTATCCCTCTCTTTCTCTTTGTCCATTTGCTCTTGTGTTAATTTAAAATGAAATGGAGAGACTTGATCGTCTTTGGTGTACCACGCTTGGTTTATTCTAGTAATGTCATCTAGAAGAAATGAGGCTACTTCAAACAATTGCAATATTATTCCTCCTCGTACCAACTGATCATCCACTCCTTTATTAACCGAATCGAGGTTCCAGTATAAATATAGAAGTAACATATCATTTGGCAACCCATAAGTTGGGCATTTAAGTAGGAGCTTCTTGAATCTCACCCATGTTTCATGGAGCGGTTCCCCCTCCCGTCGCTTGAAACCTTGAATTTCATCTCTAAGTTTCATCATCTTTGATGGAGGAAAGAATCTTGTGTTAAATGCTACAACTAACTCCTCCCATGATGTGATGGAATCGTTTGGTAACTCAGTTAACCACTTATTAGCTTCTCCATTTAAAGACAAAGGGAATAATCGCAGCCAAATTGACTCTTGCAACACACTTTGAATGAAAAAGGGTTGCACACCACTGTGAAGTTTCTCACATGCTTGTGTGGGTCTTCGTGATCTAGTCCTTCATATAGTCCTCTCATTTTGAGAAGGTGCAGAGTTGTGCTAGTGACTTCAAACATCGCATTCCCATCAGTTTGTGGGATACAAATTGCACCTATTCCACCCGATTGATTCGGGTTGTAGACACTATTAATGTCGTCTATACCGTCTCGATGACCTCCTTGATTGTCATTCATCTCTTCCTTACTCATGTCCACTTCTATGTGGTCCAGCCAACACTTACACAACGCAACCAAAACCAATTCAACTACAGACAACAAATTTGAGAGTGACAAACCTTCAAATAAAGAATTCTAAGTAACGCTACTCCCCAGCAGCGGCGCCATTTTGATAAATGCTATCAAAGATACTTCATCCAATACTAAGCATCAGCGATCATTTAATAGTAATATGACCCAACCAAGGATTAGGGTCGAGTCCCGATGGAGTAGTTTTTCCTTCAAATTTGAAAATGAAACTTTGACACAATTTCTTCAATGTTATACTTGTTATGCCTTCAAGGTTATGGTTATATTTAGCAAATTTTGATCCAACTTCACGAATAAACACGAATTGAACAAATACTAGAGTAGAACTTGGGGAATTGACCAGCCAATTGTCAAATTTTACTTTAGAGGGTGAATGTTGATACTAACAATAGGTTATTTTGTTGTGCGTAGGTCGGGCCATATATAAGATAACTTTATCTCGAACAATTACCTTTTCTATGATGAATTCTCTCTAACTTCATCACTAATCGAAAGATGCCCTGCCCTTTGTCCTCATCAAATCCACTCTCTCGAGCTGGATACAAAGGATAGATCTCAGATTTCACTCTTTAAGCTGAAATCTGGGTAACCCACTACTAAGGATGCTAAGATTGCTACTTTGGTTCTCTGCTTCTCTCTCGAGCAAGCTCACAACGAGGAATTAATTACACTAAATATGCAAAACAACTTCAAAACGCAGTAACAATTCAGACCCACTTCAAATTAACCTCCCTATTTGCATTTCAACAATACCCACTTAGAAAAACTTCAATAATTGGCTTCATAGTCAAAACCCCAAGAGAAGGGTTTTAGCCACTCATATCAAAAGTAGAAAAATTAACAACCATTCTTCTTCCCATAAGTGAATACAGAAATGAGAATTTTTATGAAGAAATCAGCTAAAAATCTTCTTGATTACAAACTCTCTAAGAATATTAAGATAAAAATCCCTCTCTAGAGCCTTTGGTGGTATCCTCGTTCTAATTGGTTTGTTCCCACGTGAATGAATATCCACTCTCCTTTCCAAAAATCAATTTAAATAAGTCTAATGTGTGACTATTACAGACCATTGGGAGAGGTTAGTCGGATGTCGCCTATAGGTCGGTGACGCACCGATTGTTCTTTATCTCGCCTTGATTTTTCACTCTATCTTGGTTCAGCTACTGTAACTTTAGTTGATCCAGATTGGGATCACCAAACACTTCCACGAATCGCCTTTTGTATATTATTTCTCTCATCAGCGTGTGTTCAGATCTTCTTCAGCAATCTTTGGTGACTTGATTGTCCTTCGACGAATAGATCGACGACACGCCAACAGGATCTGCTCCTCATCGAAATTAACCTGAATTTAGCTCCGGCATTCTGTAACTTTGGGCGGTATCATGGATGTTCGGCGAACCGCTGAATGCTCTATTCTATCGCCAACATGATCATCTCTTCCAAGGCTTGGCATAATAGAACATTTAGGCGAGACCATGGCCATTCGGCGACTCACCCAATGGTTTGGGCGATCTTCAGGCCTTCTCTTCTTCGTTCTTTCAGCTGCCTTGTTCCTTTTTGCTCCAAACTGTCCATGCTTTGTCCCTAAGTTCAAATGTCAGAAATTCAAGTATTTACATCAGTTATTGAGACAAAATGAACATTTAAGGACACTGATTCTATTAAAATCAAGCCCTAAATGAGTCCAAATTATGGACTCATCAATTCCGTTGTTTACCAGTCTTTTGAGGCTGTATCAGTTGATCGCTTTAAAGAAGGAGACCTCATCATCCAACCATGTCTCTCTTCTTTCTCTTCAATGGTAGCAATGACGATGCTCAAATATGGTTATCAGCCTAGTAAAGTTTTGGGACTATGTTCTCAAGGAATTGTGGATCCCATTACTCTTTTAGGAAACCAAGGCACCACTAGCCTCGGATACAAACAAAGCAAGAGAAATGGAGATAAGGCTAAGAACCACAAAAGCACTGATTGGGCACTGCCACAACCGATTCCCCATATTTCTCATTCCTTTATCAAGCCTCAGGGTCCAGAAATGGAAGCTTCATTTACTCATGAAGACATTGAAGAAGTTATTCAAGATCTCAGTCAGTTGTTTTGTGAAGTAAACATGGTCCAAGTTGGTGAAGGTACAAGTCATGCCGATGTGCAGCTCGTGGGATCAGGTGTTGAGCTAACAATTGGGAAGCCACTCATTTCCCCATAAGGAAGGAGTCTTGGTAGTTTGTTTTGCTACTCTTTTGTATTTTGTTTTTGTCAGGGTTGTGATCTGAAAATTTGAAAGTGTTTTGTATTAATGTCAACCCTTCTATCCTTTTTTAATTTCAATGAAATAAAATTCCAGTTTCGTAGTAAAATTTTGTCTGTTCCCCTCCCCTAATTCTTATTCTCCATTTTTCAGTTTTGTAAATGTCAGCTTTGATAACATGATATGCATGCATAATTCACTCCCAAATCTCAAAAAGTTGTTTATTCTTGAATCACCAAGTCAAGAGGTTGAATATGATGAAGAAGAGGCTTTCAGGGAAATTAATAGGGAATTGGAATAGTTTGAGCACAAACCTAAGCCTAATCTTAGGGAAACCAAGGCAATCAATTTGGGAAGTAATGAGGAATTCAAAGAAATAAAAATAACTTTTCATGTCAAGAAGGAAATTAGGGATGCCATAATACAACTTTTTTTTTAATACAAAGATGTGTTTGCTTGGTCCTATGATGACATTCCAGGTTTGAGTGTTGATTTAGTGGTCCATAAGTTGCCTACTCATCCTGATTTTCCACTCGTCCAATAGAAAAGAAGAAAATTCAAACCGGACGTGAGGGAAAAAATCAAGGAAGAAATCATGAAACAACTAAATGCAAATGTCATCCAAACCATTCGTTGCACTACTTGGTTGGCAAATGTTGTTCCTGTGCCTAAAAAGGATGGAAAGACAAGAGTATGTGTTGACTATCGGGATTTGAACAAAGCTAGTCCAAAAGACAAATTTCCCTTGCCCAATATCCACATTCTAGTTGATAATTGTGCCAAACACGAAATTCAATCTTTTGTGGATTGTTATGCGGGGTATCATCAAATCTTGATGGATGAAGAGGACGCTGAGAAAACTGATTTCACCACTCCATGGGGGACTTATTGCTACAGGGTCATGCCATTTGGTCTTTAAAATGCTGGGGCAACTTACATGAGGGCTATGACCACCATGTTTCATGATATGATGCATAAATAAATTGAAGTATATGTCGATGGCGTAATCATCAAGACTAAAACACAAGTTGACCATGCGTAAGATCTGAGAAAATTCTTTAAAAGAGTGCGGAGATATGATCTCAAGCTTAATCCAGCAAAATGTTCATTTAGAGTTCCATCTGGAAAACTTCTGGGTTTTATTGTTTGTAGAAGGGAAATCGAATTGGAACCTTCCAAAATAAAAGTCATTCGATATTTGTCACCCCCAAAAAATAAGACCGAAGTCATGAGTCTACTTGTGAGGTTGAACTACATCAGCAGGTTTATTGCTCAACTCACAACCACTTGTGAGCCCATTTTCAAACTTTTGAAAAAAGATGTTGCTGTCAGATGGACTGAGGATTGTCAACAAGCTTTTGAAAAAAATCAAGGAGTATTTGTCCTACCCTCCCATATTGGTCCCGTCTGAACCCGATAGGCCTC